AATAATAATAATAATAATAATAATAATAATAATAATTAAAAAAAAAAAAAAAAAAAAAAGATGTATACTGGCTATCTTTTCGGCCCTATATAGTCTGCGAGGAGGAGTGCATCGCGTTCGGCTGATTGCCCTGCCACCGTGATCGGGACTACCGCCGAACAGGTAAGTGTTTCTCACGCTCCCCCCTCTCTCTCTCTCATCCACCTACACACACACTCACTTCACTTACAGGATGAGCAAAAACGGAATGAATCTTCCGCTGAAACGTAGAAATATAAACTACCACCTTTCGTTTGCTCATTCTATCGATCCACGTAGCTTGTAGCGAGCTGCACATCGGAGGTTTAACTCTCCCTCTCTCTCGTAGTCCGCAGATACCGGGAAGTTAGATAGTGAGAGGGTGAAGAAGAGATGGCGGACTTAGAAGAGGAAGAAGAAGAACTTTCTATCTCTCTTTCCTTCTCACACACACACACACTGGAGTTGCATGCATATTATCATGCCGTAGGGGTAGATTCATCCAATTTTATTTATTTATTTATTTATTTTATTTATTTATTTATTTTATTTTATTTATTTATTCATGGGAGTTCTATGAAGTAAGTCGAGTGATCATCGACTCACCTGCCTTCTCTCTCCCGTCGTCTGATTCGTTGTCGTCGCTGACACGTAGTTAGTTCGTCGTTGTCGTCGTCGAGTTGTTTTCGCTGCCACACCGCATTATCGATGGTCTGCCGTTCCACAGGTAAGTGTTTCCGGCATTTTGCTTCCTCCCCCCTTTACTCCTTTTCTCTTTCTCCTCCTCCTTCTCCCTTCTCTCCTTCTACTTTCTCTTCTCCTTCTCTCTTACATGCGACCACCTTTCTCCTTCTCCACGTTTCCTTTTCTTCTTCCTTCGCGGTTTTTCTCCCCCTACGAGTTGTCTCTCCTGTCTTTCTCGCGCGCTCCACCCTTCGCTTCTCTGCGCTTTCCTCAGCAAGCGGCCACTCCCGATCTCGCGTTTGCGTGATCTCGCGGTGGCTTGTTCTCTCCTTGGTGAGGCACCTCCGTGCTATAGGTAGACGAGGCACGGTAGGGACGGCCAGGCCTCCTCCCCTTCTTTGGCTGAATCAACCCGACTTTCGGGTTCAGGTTCATTCGCGCGAATTAAAAAATTTAGAGGTTACAAGTAGAGAAAATAAATAAATAAATGAATAAAATTGATACAAGAAAAACGAATCTAACAAGTCTTACCACTAACTACCAAGTATCTCGTTTCAACAAGACAACTACTGCTACTTATTTCTAATAGAGGTCACGGGTTCGAGTCCCGTTGGCCTATGAGTTGATGAAAACAAAAGGTAGGCCCGCCCCCCTGTGGCTAGCGAAAGAGCTAGCCCAGCGGCAGGTCGGATTCGATCCCAGCGTCCCTAGCTCATCAATCCGCTCCTTACCTACTGGGCTAGCTCTTACCACGGTATGATAAAGAGTCGCCTCCCTATAAGTAGGTGTAGTAGGTCTGACTTTCTCAGCCTGAGTGCTCGTACACGCTTGCCAGTTAGTGCGACCGTCCTTAGGCTTGTTGATTCGAGTGTGCGTGCGCCCTCAAGGGCACTTATCTCACCGGAAGGCGCGAAGGGTCGGTACTTAGCCGTAACGGCGGCATCAAGGATCGCAGCGGGGTAATTACTCAAGTGTCGGGTAGACTTGTACCCCACCAAGCAGACGTAGACGTGATGGATACTCGACCCAGAGGCTGAGTAGGGGAAGACAAAGACCGAAATTTTCAGAATCCCCAGTACCGGAAGGAAGACAAGCACTGGACCAAGTCTTAGTGCGTGTCATAGTCCTACCTTACACAATCATCAGTCCAACTGACCCTTCGACCTCTTCCATCGAGGGGCATTATTATTGATCCTAATCAACACGGCGAGCGTTATAGTAACGCGCGCACATACCTAACAAAATTTTCTCACCGATTTTTGCCCCGGCCTCAATGGCCGAGGAATTCGTTTCGAGTGTCACGCTCAAGCGTGCACACCCTTTCCATTCCAAACTGGCTCCGTTATGGTAGCCGATGTCGTCACCGTGTCGAACGCAAAAGCACGGCCAAATACCCTTGTAAGGGTATTTGGTCCCATAGTATCCCAGACCTCATTAAGCGACGTCCCCGTCGCTTGGAGACTATATGCAAATAAAGGTGTTTTCTGATAAGCAAATTATCAAATCCGAACCCTGGTATGAAATGTGGTTTCAGGATTAACGCTGTCACCTCACTTTTCATTGTTACTGCCGGGATTTATCCCGGGTCTCCCACATAAAATATAATGACTGAAAGTGGGGATACTTGATCTGTACTACAACACATGAAATAGTTAAGTATGACAACGCACCTTTCCCTCCCCTACACCCTTAGTCTTTGGTCCAGGTATTCGTTGTTTGTTTTCAGGGCTGGCGTTCGCGTACGAACTCAACCCGTCAAACGCGAGCCCTAACCGAGACCTTAGGTGTTCAACTCTTGATATCACAATCCAAAGTTGCCTGTCGTCCTGCCTGAAGCCTAATACAGGAGGACAACGGTCTCCATCCTGACCCACCACAGTCCTGCTGATCAGACCGAAGCTGCCGCCCACCGCGTTGTTGCTTATCCGTGGTTACCCTTGTTGGTTGCACAACGAGGGGATATTTATCCTATCTTTAAAATTTTCTAATCTCGACCCCTTCGACATCCACCTTGAATAGATCCCTTCATTGGGGAGACCTCCCCTCTAGTTTCTCTTCGAGGCCATAGTCGAAGGGTCCGCTGCCTGGTTATGCTAGGTCAGCAGCCCACACTGGGAGTTACGTCCCAACGATGCCAATTTTCCACCATAGGCTTGGTAATTTATGCCCTCAGGTTAACCCTTAGGGTGGATGAACGATGCTTTTTAAATAAACCAAATATATAATAAATTGAGCACTCGTCAAGCTACCACTAAGGGTTGTGCCCTTCAAGTCTTTGATCATAGCTCGGTGAGGCACGCACCTCGGGGTCATTTTATAACTATTATTTTATATATACATATATATATATATAACCATTATTTTTAAAATAAACTTTTATTGACTCTTTGCTTGTCAGAATCCACAAAATAAAACATCACTTTCATAGAGATTGCCAAAGAATTTCTGCAACATAATTGATAAGACTCAAAGGAGTCTACCCATGTCGTAGCATGGTCTCAAACAAGAAAAGTACAATCAATCCAGCTTTTGAAGCTTCACAACTCATCAAACTTTCATATGAAATACAGATTCGCTCATTCCTCTATCACCGCTTTAGATCTCAACAGAGTCTTAGTAGTGATAGACGAAGGGAGATTCTAGGTTACCAGAGACTCAACCAAAGACAAAGGCCCACACACAATGTGACAAGTGCGTCGTGTCCACCAGCTCATCCCCCTGTGTGATATATATAAATACAAGTATGTTACAGAGCCAGATCACCACTCCACTCTACTATCCCTCAACTACCTCTCATGTCATTTCTTATACTACTTCTTATGCTAAGTTTCCCTCATCTGACTGAAGAAAGTACATAACTTTTCTCACTCCTGTTTCTCAAGTCCAACTGAAGAAGAAAAACACATGTCCCCTTGCTCTAATTTACACCTTTTTCTCTTTCATAACTGTCTTTTAAGCTAATTCAAGTCATAGTTTACTCAAAACACCTACCTATTCCTACCTAGAAATCAACTCGCAGTCTTAGTATCCTGTGAAGTGTTACCCTGCCTCCCTCAGGTATCTTGGGAATGGTCTGCCCTGTGCCGGCCACCAATCTCTTATGACTATCATATTTGGCCTTTCCTTCCTTTATATAAATTGCTAGAATGGAACACTCATCTCTGAGGTGTCCTTCCTGAGTGCAGAAGAAACACCTTTGTCCAATCATGCTGGGCTTGATTCTCTTTATGTCTGGCTGAATTGAAGTCTCAACCTGATCTTCAGCCACCTTTGGTGAGTCCAACTGGGATTCCGTTTGCCTTTTCCCCTGTCCTGGCAGAGGCATAGCCACACTCTCACTTACTCCCTTTTCAGGCGCAGGAGGCTCTTCTTTCTTCTCCTCAGTCTGTGTCCCCTTCTCTTCACCCCCTTTTCTTCCCACCATCTCTGTGGCTTCCTTCTCTTCCCTTTGTTGGCTCAATCTGAATTCCTCCATTCCTCTCAATATCTCTTCCCACCTTTTCTCCCACTCTTGTCCCAACTTCTTTCTTTCAGAGATTTCATTGTCTAAGTCCTGCCCTAGTACACTGACCTCAGAAACCAGACCATCCACCCTTATTTTCATCTTACCTCTTGTGGCCACTTCATTTTCCAGTTCTCTACTCCGCACATTCAGGGTGGCCCTCAATTGACTCATTTCTTTTTGCAATTCCTCCTTCTCTTTCTTCAATTCCTTCACTTCCTCCCTCATTTCTTCCATATCTCTCATCAGCTTCTCCACCTGGCCATCCTTTTCATCTTCCTTCCTTCCTATCTCGCTTGTCTCTTCCTTTTCCCCAATCGGCCTCTTTCCCTTAGTTCTCTTGATTTTGGGAGCCTTGCATCCTCCCTGGACTTCCTTTCGCTCTTCAGCTTCCTCTACTCCTTCCTCCTTTTCACTCACCCTTTCTTGTACCTCTTTCCTTTCATTCTTAATTGCCCTTTTCTTTCCAAGTTTCTTCTTCCTTGGTACCATACTGACCTTCATGCTTCTTTTCCTCTCCTCTGCTGCCTCCTCCTCTTCCTGTTCATCTCCATCGGCCTGCTCAGATTCCTTGCTACTGCTCTTGGGGGAGACCCTCGCCTTCATTCTCTTCCTCCTTTCCCTGCGGCTCAGTCACCCCTCTTCCAATCCATAGCCCCTTCTTCTGCAACTTTTCCTTTCTTGTCTGGTCTTGCCTGGCCTGGGTGTAGGCCATCCACAATTCTGCCGTTATCCTTTTCCAGGTCCGACTCCCTTCCACAATTCCTCTTACTTCCTCCTTTTCACCTTTGTCTGATCTGCTATCAATTGCTTCCTCTTTTCTTCCTCGCTCCATTCGCCCCTCTCAGCGGCCAGCTGCAAGCTCTCAATAAAGTCCTCCAGATTGGTCCCATTAAACTTTAAGTCATCCTCCATATCATTCCTTGGGAATTCCCCCATGTCTCTCCATAGTCTCACCTTGCATACCCTCCATCTCGTCCAACCTGCCACCACTCCTTCAATCCTCCTCTTGTACATTCCTGCCCCTCTCACATTCGCAATCTTTTCCCTGTCACCCCATTCTCTCATGAAAGCGTACCCCTCAAGGTCTCGCAAAAAAACTCGCAGACTGGCTCCAGCCCTGTAAATGGGCAACTCCTCCAAGTTCCTTGAGATTCTCTGTTCCCTCCTCTGCCCCCCCTTTCTCAAGGCAGGTCCAGAGGGCCCTGCCACTGCTCCTCTCTGCGCCATGGCCTCTTCTTTCCAGGGGTCACGCCTACATATAGAGAAGGAGCAAATGGCAAGGGACGAGGGTCAGATTATCATCAAGGCAACATTCCTTGTTAAACACAAGTTGACAATGCCCTCCTTTATCAAGTACTTACATACATGCACATATACACATATATATATACATATATATATATATATATCTCATATATATACATATATAAATACATGAGCGTATATACACATATATATCCCCACTTATACCCCTCTTCATCCATTTATGTACACATACATACATATATATATATATATGCATGTATCAGAGTTCGCAACCAGGATTTTTAGGAATACCTGTAACTAAAGTAACCACACACTTTTCGAAAACCAACCAACCATGACCACTGTATACCTAGCCTACGACACCTTTACCTACCTTCAACTGATCCGGAAAAAAAAACCGGGTACCTGTACCCGCCCATACCTGAACCTCTGCAGACTGTAATTGCCCATACCCGCCCTTGTTTTTTTTTTTTTTAACCAACCATGGCTAACTGAACCCAAACCGTGTCTTAACCACCCGTACCATACCCAACCGAATTTTTTCTTACCCGTGTTCAGCCGTACCCGTCCCCACCTACCCACAATTGCATGCACCTACCCGTAAACCTTTGGGCTGTGGTCGGGGTCCAGCAGTAATAGTTACTGCAGCTGTTGTCGCAACTGCAGCGATTGTCAGATGTGGTGCATCTGCAGCAGCAGATGCAACCCCTCCAACAACTGCAGAAATGATGTCAATGGAACAACTGCAGCAGATGTGGTGCATTTCTGGTGCATCTGCAGATGTGGTGCATCTGTAGCCGCAGCAGCATATGCAACCCGTGCAGCAACTGCGGAAATGATGTCAATGCAACTACTGCAGCAGCATACGCAACCCCTGCAGCAACTGCAAAAAAAAAAAAAAAAAACGGGCCTACGACTTCAGATGGTGGGAAAGGGCGAGGGGGGAAGGGCTGGGAGGGGGGCAGGTGGGAATACAAGGGGTAATGAACCACGGTTACCCGAGTGGATCCTCTACCCGCCCGTACCCGACCCCCATTTTTTTTGTTTGCCCCCCGTACCTGTCCGTACCGGTTTTAGTTTTATGTTTGGCTAACCCTCCCTGCCCGTGATCTTCATAAATACTAACTGTGCCTACCCGTCATCTCCAGAAAAAACAAATTTGCCTGCCCATAAGCACCCCCCCCTTCAAAAAGGGGCACCCAGACCTACCCATGACCTGGCGGTTACAGTTGGGTGCGGTCGGGTATGGGTAACGGTTACCCATTTGCGCTCTCTGGCATGTATGTATCCATATATGTATGAGCATAATCTTGGGCAATTAGGTACATACCTGCATTAGGAACTGATTCACATATGCATGCCTAAATACCTTCCCAATCTATCCAAGCTTCCGTATCGTAGTTGAGCTTACCTCTTCTCTGACTCGGAACTTCTTCAGTCTAGATCCTGAGACCCAGTCCTTCCTTGGAGTCCCATTCATCTCTTCTAGCTCATATGCCCCATGAAGTCCTTGTCTCCTGACTTTGAATGGTCCTAGCCACCGTTTGTCCAACTTTCGCGACCACTGCATTTCCAGAGAGGAATCGTAGAGTAGTACTGTCTCGCCAACTTGTAGAGGTTTGAATCTTACTCTAGGTAGCTTGTCCCACCATTCCTTATCCTTTCCTCTGTTGTCCGCAACGTTCATGGCTGCTTCCTGCACCCTTTCTTCAGTGACGCTGATCTGCCTTGCTCTTAGATCTAGCAGTTCCTCCAAAGTTAAGTTATTCTCCAGGTCCTGCCTGCGCCAAGTCTTAAGGAAGCTCTCAATGGGAAATGTGGTGTGACGCCCATACTAGAGTGTCGCAGGTGCATACCCGATTGTCTTTTTTACGGTGATGTTCTCTACAAAGAACACTGTTCTTAGGAACTTTGGCTAGAGATTCGGCTTCCCACTGGTCCATTTGGCCAATAAGTTAGTAATAGTGCTATGACCCTTCTCGACTGGCGCATTTGCCTGTGGATGAGCCCGAGTCGTATAATTACCATTGACCCCTAATTCCTTCAACAATTCTTTCACTTCCCCACACGTGAACTCAGACCCCCTGTCCATTGTAAACTCCAATACGAAAGGATATCTGAGATAATATTCTTTAATACAATCTGTCAGCGTTGCCCCGGTCTTGTTCCTGATCGCTCTGCCATCAACGAATCCTGTAAGGTTGTCCCTTGCATCGAATATATAGTTATATCCTCCAAGACTTAGTGGCATAGCCAGCAGGTCCAGGTGAACAACCGCCCCTACTTCCTTGATATATCTAGGATGTAGGGGTTCCTTGTACCTGATAGGCGATCGTATTTGACAGGGCACACACGATTCACAGTACTTTCGTGTCATTTCAAACATTCCTTCCCAGTAATAGAGCTCCATCGCCTTCTTGTAAGTAGCTGCGAAGCTCCGATGTCCTCCGACTATCCCATCATGCAACGCAACTACCACGTCGATCTGGCGATTCCTCCCACATACGACACGTCGTGGCGGCTCCCTCTTATCCCTGATGAACAAGTGGCCACCTCTTACCACAAAGTGGTCTCTCATCCTGAGAGTCTTTTCACTCATTTCTCTCTCTCTTTTATCTCCTTAGAGGAGCAACCCCATCTCTAAATAGAATCCATCATACTCCTCCTTCCTGAATTCCTTTGAAATTTCTTCTTGTTCGAACTCTCCTTCCTTCTCTTCATCAAATTCATAATCATCACCAATAATTATTTCATCAGCCTTCACTATTCCTCTTTCATCATTCGCTTGGACTTGTAATAGTGAATTTGTCAGATAGTACATCCTTCCCATCATGGCTACCTGCTCGTCTGCCTATTGGATTCCCGCTTCGATCGTTCGTGGCTCCTCCATTACCCTATAATTCTCCGTCGGAGCCAATTCCATCATCCACTCCATATTCCTCTCGCCCCTTTCGCCCCAGGAGTCCTCTTCGTCTAATGGCGTGAGTATCAAGGAAGGCTTTCTCATGAATTCGGGTGGTCGATGCCACATTGAATTTCCTCTCCTCATTTCCTTACTCTCGACAAACATGAACCAATAGTTCACGTGAGTTCGCATGTCTTCCCCTTCGTCAAAAAACCCATCTACCGGAGGCGTTTCTTCATTAGTTTCCCCCTTATTTCCCCACTCAATTCTGCTCATGACGTCTGCCCTGTTCTTGTTCCCCGGGATCCGTTCTTATTGGAAGTCGAACATCCAGATATAGGTGAGCCATCTGGCTATGGTTGGATCTGAGGGCGAGAAGTTTTTGAGTAAGTACACAAGCGCCGTAGGATCAATCCTGAGCACAAACCTCCTCCCAAAGAGGTAGTGCCTAAAGATCCTTAGGCAGTGCAGAACCGCCAAAGCTTCTTTCTTGAACTGCGAGTAGTTTCTTTCTGTTGAGTTGAGTGTCTTGCTTTCAAATCTCAGCGGTCTCTCCTTTCCTTCACTGTCTGCTTGAATCAAGACGCCTCCCAGGGCAGTTGGTCCAGCGTCAGTTTCAACTATGAAAGGTCTTTCCATAGTCGCATCAAAGTCTGGAACCCCTAGTACCAGTCCTCCTTCTCTGAATTCCTTCTTCAATTTTTCCACCACTTCTTCCTGATGATTTCCCCATTCTCATTCCTGATCCTTCCGTACCAATTTCCTTATGTGTTCTGTTTTGCTAGCAAATCTTTCTATGAATCTCCTCCACCCACAAGTACCAAGGAAACTTCGAACTTCACCTACCTTTCTGAAGGGAGTGGGTCATTCTAGGATCTTATTGGTCTTCTTCTTATCAGGGCGTCGACCATGTTCGTTGCAAATGTATCCTAGAATGGTTACCTCCTTTACGCAGTGTCTTGATTTTACTCCACTGGCGGTGAGGTTGTATTCTTCGAGTAGAGATAAGACTTCTCTTAATCCCTGAACATGTTCCCACACAAACCTTCTCACCCCTGGAGCCACTTCTGATTCATCTTTCTCAATCGGGCCCTTAATTGCAAGATCATCTATGTATGGCTCGGTGATCTGAGGGCTGATAAGCTGCATAACCCTGATCATGCTCCGTTGCACCATGGCCACAGCATTGGTCCATCCTTGTGGTGCAACATTCATATGAACTAATCCCCTTGGCGTGTGCATCGCCGTGATGGGACGGTCTGCCGGATAGACTGGAAACTGATCATATCCGGAGTAGAGGTCGATGAGGGACACAATCGACCTACCTGCACAAGCTTCTGACAACTGGTCAGCGTTGGGCAAACCTCCTGCATCCCTTACAATTACCGCGTTCAGTCGTTCGAGGTCTTGCACCCATCTGAGAACTCCATTTGGCTTTATAAAGCAGAACCATGGAGATGCGTACGGTCCACTAGAATATCCCGCAACATCCGTACGAATTTTTCCGTCTAGGTATTCTACCACCCTTCTGCAATCCTCGGGGTTGGGGTACTTAGCTCCTCGGACATTCCATGGTTTGTGAGGCACCGTATGAATGCGGATCATTTCGATTTTGTCCACATCCAGCCTCCCACGTTCGTCATCGTTGAAGGCATATGCCCCATGTTTTTCACGTATCAGTTCTTTCACCAAGTCCTCCTCTTGCCTTGTCAGAAACCCAGGTTCCCCTATTATCAGCTCTTTCTCAGTCTCTTCGTCGATACGACAAGGCCCATTCTGGATACCTTCCCTCATTCTTTGTATCAGTTTTCTTTCCTGATTATAATACACCCCTTCTTCCTGACTCACTAGAACTGGCACAGGGTGGCTCTTCTTATCTACCGTCTTGTACCTCCTTTTGGAACCCTGCTTGAGCCCACCCCTAAAAAATGTTGACCGGCAGCTTGAGCATTTGGCGCATGCGGCACTATCATCTGAGTAGAGGGAGGTGGCCGGTAAACGAGATCAACCCTTCCTCCTTCCGGATCGTCCTGGATTCGTTCAACGAGCGCTCTAATGGCATCCGCGTCAGCCATCCTATAGGCCGATACCAGTTCTACTGCATCACTGATATTCGCTAGACTTAATACAAGCCCTTTGGCTCCTTCATCATCTGACTCCTCTTCTTCTTCTTCCCATTCCAGTTCTCTCCTCCTACTCTCAGATTCCTCGAACGTGTATGATCCGGCATTGAGCCTGTTCTTCGAGCTGTGCGGGCCTGTGTTCCTACAGGTTATAACTTCGAAGTTCCCGCAGGCAGGATCACACAAGATGACGAACATAGTGCCGTCATGCTTGTTCATAATGAGTGATTCAGATCTGCACAAGAACGACCTTCCCAGCAATATTGGAAGGTCCAAGCTGGGCATGACGTAGAAGCACGTGCGTACCTTCACTCTTCCTATCTCTATGACCACATTTGATGCGACACCAGTGTATCCAGTCTTGCCGCTTGCTCCGTTGAGGAATCCGCAATCATTCTCATCCACCTCCAACCCAAGTTTTACCGCGGTTTCTCCATTTATAATATTCATTTCTGCCCCGGTATCAACCATCCCAGGACACATCTTTCCTTTTATCATAACATCAATGGATCCTGTGCCTACGAACTTCCAGTCCATTTTGCTCCTTGCCACGCTCCAGTTTGCCTCTTTGGGAATTAAATCCCCCATCCAAACCGAGGCTACTCTCCGTCGTGATAACCTAGCCTTCACCATCTCTCTTAACTTAGGAGCCGAAGCGAGGATTTCTTTCAGGTTTAGTAGTTCATTGTGTCCCTCCAACAGTTTATTCACCAGGCCTTCCAGATCTACCCCTTCTTCGATCGAGGTTTGGTACTTTCTCTTCTTGCTTGGGCCCGTATCCCCTTTTGATCTTCCTTCCTTAGCTTCGTCTTTCCTTCTCTTAGCCCTTATCTCCGCCTACCTTTCTTCTTCCTCCCTAATCTTCTCATCCTCTTCTTCATCACCTTCTACCGTGATAGGTGGTTCTTCTTCCGCTGGCTGGGAAGCCTGAGCTTGTTCCTTTTGAGGATTCCCTCCTGCGGGTCTTCTTGTAGCGAATGGAATCGTTCCTCTTATACTTCTCTGACTTCCACTGTTCCTTGCGGCCATATTGGCTCTCTGCATTCTCGGGTTGGGTTCATTTGGCCCATCTCCTGATCCCCCGCGTCCCATAGTAAATACTTTCGGGCATCCAGCCTCTTCTCTTCCTGCTCCTCTACATATCTCTTGACGTCTCAGATGTAGCCTTTGCATTTTGTCTACCAAGTCTTCCATTCTATCGAATGCGTCTCTGACGTTAGTCCTAACGTCGTCCTCCTCTGCTTCTCCTTCCACGATCGGCACGTCTTCCTTATCTTCTCCAATCCTCATCCTACTCACTTTCTCTTCCAAGTTAGTTACATCTTCCACTTGCATTATCGGTTCTTCCTTTTCTTGCCAAATTCGGAACATCCCTGGGGCATTGGGACCGAGCGTGGCTATACGAAGTGCCTCTTCTCTCGTGCCCCCTGGAATCTCAGGATTAATCACCCTACCATTTTGGTCGAACACCTCGCCTTCCATGTTTGACGTTATGAGCCCTTCACGTTTATCAAGTTTCCTAATATGACACCATTTTACCGTGTGCCCTTTGATCGCGCAGTGAGTACAGACGCATTCACTGTAATCAATCCACCCTCTGCCATATCCTTGTCCGTTCCATTGTCTGTTTCCTCTACCATACCCTCTTCCATAGCTTTGGTCGTACCCACGACCATACCCTTGCTAATATTCCTGCCCAACTGGATTTGCACCCCCTTGGGGCTGCCCCCAGTTTCCACCTTGGTTTCCACCTCCTCTGTTACCTGCTCCTCTCTCTCTTGGTCCCTGATTCCTACCAGCGTTCCTACCTCGTCCATGCCCTTGTCCTTGTCCTTGTCCTTGTCCTTGTCCTTGTCCTTGAGACCTGTTCTGGTTCCGGCCACCCTGGCGACTTGACCCTGGTTGGTTTTGCCCTATTTGCTGAATTTGTCCCGCATTTTGATCCCCTCCTATATTCTGATTGTGGGGCAGCATGGGATACGGCCCTTGTGCGGGTCATGGTCCCATTGGAAAATAGCCGGGCCATGCTCCCATAGGCGGGCCCACGAGCCATTGCCCGTATTGTGTCTCGCTTGTTGATGACTCTTGTCCATATTGGACTATCGCTTGTTGAGTTACCTGCCCTTTTCCCGCGCCTTGTCCTCCGATAGCGAGATTCTTGGCCTTTCTTTGACACTTTGTTAATTTGACTGCTTCTTCCGGTTCTCCCTCTTCGGCTTCGTCCTCTTCATCCTCTTCTTCCTTTCTTCCTTTCTTCTCTTTCCTGACAGTTGCGTCACTGTTAACACTTTCGATGGTGCCACTCTTTCTCTAAGTTCCTTTATTTCGTTTGCCATGTTACTCAATACTCCTCCAAGTGCACTATTCGTCCCTTGGATCGTTCCAACCGCCTTTCTTTTCTTTTGTTCGACCTTGATCTGGTGATGAAATACCTGGTCCATATCTCCTGCCGCAATGTTCCTCTTTATAGTATCCCAGGTTGTCTTTCTCCCGGCGGCTCCTCCTCGAGTCAGTTTCATTGCCTCATACCCCGAAAACTTCCCCAGGAATATGACGCATTACATTTCTTCAGACAGCCCGAGGACCCTTTCGGCTGTCTTTTCGAACGTGTTGGTGAACGCCCTGATAGTGGTGAAATCATCCCTGTTCATGTTATATAGATGGTCGATTGTGAACAAGCCATCTCCCAGGTTAAACTTCTTTTGCATGCCCTTTTTAAATTCGGCCTAATCATTGTTGGACTTTCTCACTACCTCTTCTATGTCAGACGTGTACTCCCACCACACGTACTCGAACAACTGAGCAAACTTTTATGCAGGGGTCAATTGATTGAAGATCTGCTCGAGCAGTTCTAACCAATGGGTCACCCTATCCCCTTTGAAAGGGAAGATGTCTATTCTTGGTAGGTTAGACCTCTTTATCGTCCTCTTCTCTAGTAACTTGGCGATTTCTGCTGCGGTGATTCGCGACTCTCCATTGGCGCTGCCTTCGCCCATCTTTTCCCATTTTCTTCCTTGGTTTTAGTTAGACTGTAGGCCTTGTTAAGACACACAAAAACGACCATTGATCCACCCTTCCTCGTCACTATCTTGACGTATCCTTTACTCTTGTCACTTGTTCTCGTCCTATATGACCTTTCATACCCCCTTCTCTCTCAACCGAGTATTTCTTCTAGTGGCACCCAGTCTTCGTGTCAAAAGCTTCTAACCATACAAAATAAAGAAGGGATTTCATCTATAAATTCTTCAATACATGTTTCCCGACAAAGATTGTGCCAGTAGGTCGAGAGGTCTTCAAAATGGTAGATGCGTAGGCACGTGTTTACTACGCATAATACGTTATAGAAGTCTCTATCCTTTAGTTTCGGTCTCATTTCTAAGTATAGACGGTAAACAATTTCTGATGCTTCGAATTCGAAGCCCATCTCTAGAACTGATCGGGCTGCGAGTACCACTCGTTCTACATTCTCAATTCCCCAAAATGCTTCATCAATTATGAAGTTCGGAAGTGTGGCTTTAACGTACCTTGTTGGATATACGAACTCAGCGGCCCACTTCGCTTTGATTGACTTTATAACCTCTCCTTCTTCTCCTCAATACATCCTCTTTGAAAACGCGTCAAGGGTCAATCCTGCTATCAATACGTATTTAGAGATGGGCCGGCTTTCCCCTATCGCAAAATCAATCGCGTGTGCCCTCCAAAGACTTACTATCGCCTTTCTTTCCCTTGTGGTCCACCCAGTTTCTACCCAAAGAAAGGCTTCATGTCCTGTCGGTATCCCGCACCGTGAATTCATCTCCTCATCCATATTTATTGTCCTCTTTGGCAGTGTCATGTTGACTCCTTCTTCCTTTAGCTCTGGAAGGTTGATCAGGAAGCTCCGATCATTGAACCACATTAAAGGAGTCATCCTGGTATACCTGTTACAACAGCCAAAGAAAGAACCTTTCTCTTCTTAGTAACTACTCAATTTTCTCATTTCTTAACAATTTTCTATCTTGGTCTTCTTTGAGCATCCCTTCCTATTTGATCGAGGATCCCCCGCTCCAGTTCCTCCCAGTAGACATGCCTATTTTCTCAATCATGTTGACGTGCATATGAGTCGGCCCTCGACAGTATGTCTTGCTGATCCCTATCTTCAATCAATTGCCCTATCTCTAGGTATAGGTAGTATACTAGCAGAGGGGTAGACGCGTGATATTCTCTTTCAGGTATCGCCATCGCGACTTCCGCAACCCTTTCCACTCGGGTCCTTACTCCGAAGGCTGCATCTATGATGAACATGGGAAGGGTTCCCCTTAGAAATATTGCGGGCGGAAGAAATTCACTGACCCTTCTTACTCTCACAGTTCCCATCACTCCTTCAAACCCATTTAAACTTGCATCTCTTCTTCTAGATTCGAGTGCGGATTCTGCTATCCATAATAATCTGGAAAGAGATC